CCGGTTTCCGGTTTTTCGGGACCGTTGGCCGTGTGCCTCGGTTCGGGACCGCCTAACCATCTCCGTTTGTTCTGATTTTTGGCATACTTCCTTTTTACTCCCTTTTGAGGGACACTGGGGTCTGAGAAACCCACTTCGTGGCCGAATGCCACTTTCGGTGCTTAACAAGCAATTTTCGAGACCCCGAACTGCGTGTTTTGGCCCCCGAGCATTCGTTTTGCATCAGTTTTCGTTCATTTTTGGCAAGTACCTCTGTTTCACCATCAGGAAGGTCACTGGAGGGTGGGAGGCTAGCAATTATCTTGGCAACCAGTTATATTCCATTTTCGCCCTCCGGCGCTCGTTTTTCTCACTTCCAAGCCAATGTTGAACACCTTGGGGTCACTTTCTTCAACCCCAAACTACATATTTGTGTTGTACACACATGGGAGGACCCTAAAAGTTGGTGGCCGGCCACTAATGTTGATTGACCCTTTTGAACCCCCCTCCTAAAAATGGCTTGTTCTCTCTCCTGTTTTAGAGTTTCCAAATTCGAACCACAGGGTTGTGATGAGGGGACCTGGGAGGCCACCTTTTTGTGGTGGCCGGCCACTAAAGCAAGTTGACCTTTTTGACCCCTAGCCGGCCGGCTAGGGGAGGTGGCCGGCCGGCCACCTGCAAGTCCAAAAGGTGGCCGGCCAGTTTCCTTGTGCTTGGTACTTTACAGCTGTATAGTTGTATCCCCCAGAAAATATCTCAATCCGGGTGATATTTTTTGGGGAAAAACTTGTCTCCTTTTTCCCCACCTTTGCCCCTCCTTTTCTCCCTCTTTTTGGTCCATATAACCAGGAGGAAACATTGGTCTTGGAGGTTAGAAAAAAATTGTTTCAAGCATAGGCATCAAGGTTGCATACAAAAAATCCCACTCTATCTCTCTCATTTTCTCAAAAACTCCTAAGTTCCATTCCATTTTCTTCATCATCTTCAAGCTCCACCACCACCACCCCATTTCCAGCAGCAAGGAGGTGTTCTCCAAGGCCTAAGGGTGCTGCAAACTCAAGCCAAGAAGCATCCAAGACTTGTCTTCAAAGGTAAGTCCTATTTCCCCTCTTTTGAGCTTAATTTTGCGACATTTCTTAGCCATACATGCTTATTGTTTTGAGCTCCGGCCCTAACTGAAAGTGGCCTTCGTTTGAGCTCTTTTTCACTTTTTCTTAAGGGCTCAACCCTGTTTGAGCCTCCCATCTTGCACTTGCTTCAATATCTTCCTTGAATGCTATTTTCTTGCATGCTTTGGCAGCCTATTATGCTTCCATTTTTGGTCATTTTACAGAGCTATAAATAGTCTTATTTTAGCCCATTCTTCATGTTTCATTAAGGACCTTTGGCTTTTTGATGGATATTTAGTATTCTTTGTGCTTTGGCCATCTTTTGGCCCATTTCTTGCATAAGAGCTTAGCCATATCTATATTTGTTTTTGGGGTTTTTACAGTTCTTTAAATATGCATATTTTTTGTCCCTCTTCAATGTTGTAGAAGGGAATGTTTCAGTTTGGGCTTTGCATATACCACTTGCCTCTTCGGCCACCTTTTGGCCCTTTTTCTTGCATAAGAACTTAGCCTTA